CACAAACATGTCCCGCTCACACGTTTTTCCATCAAACTCTTCATCCCAATCTTGACACTTGCTTTTTTCTCAGCCTCTTCACTTCATCTTTTTTCCTTGCCGCTGGTTCCTTCTCTTCCCCCCTGTAGCAAGTTTTTTTTCAGGCTGATGAAGATGAGGTCTGTCTGAATATCAATCAGTCAATGTAATTGTCCTTTAAGGAAAGCAAGGAGAGACTGTCTCCCTCGATCCATCTCTGTCTCTTTCGACCTGCCGTGCGCGACCCTACCCTGGGGCTTCATTGCAAGAATGATGGTAGATCTGGTGAGGGATGATGAATCTGCTCAGCCCTGTCAATGCTACATAATTGATGCTGATCACTCTATTTATTGGCCTTGTTTCCTCTGTCACCTGCAGTGTTGTCATATTGGACTGTCTGTCCTCACAGCTGTTTGTCCTTAGTGGGCTCAGTGAACCGGTTGAGCTTCATGGCTGCGGGCTATGGTTCTCTCTCTCTCTCTATGCGTGTGTGTTTGTGTTTATCGCTGTAGGATGTCATTTGAAGTCTGGTGGAGCTTCACAAAGTGCTTTGAATCCAGCAGGCAGGAGGGAAGGAGGACTGGAGTCAGGGGAGGGCCGGAATAAAAAGCACTCCCAAGTCAGACTCCAATCTGGGAAGGGGGGAGTGCGGAGGTGGGATGCTGTGCTTTTGTTTGTTTGATTTCGAAGCCTAAGAAAAAAACCTGACCCCCTGTTTTTTTATTGTCCCTTTCTCATTGTTTAGTTTCTTCAAAGTGTTCTTCCTCCAATTCTCTCTTGCTCTTTTCCCCCCTACCTCTCAGTGTTGGGATAGTGATGGCACTGGAGGGGACAGTAATGACTAACTGACTGTAAAGGTAATGATAAAGTACAGATGCTTTAGATTCCTCTCTGGCTCGAGGCGCTAGGGCTAAGGAAATTACAGTCCTCCATGTGTGTGTGAGAATGAGAGGCGAATGAAAAGAGAGGGTGGAGAAAAAGACACAGGGCAGAAAGAATAACAGAGACAGTTCCCCAGCCTGCCTGAGACAAAGACAGACATTTTCTATGATTCATTTTCCTCGCCAGTTATTATAGCAGTGAGTGTTGAGTGTTTGTGTGCGCTCCGTCGTGCCTTTCCTCTCCACTTGTCGATTAGAGTTTCTTGACCCGTCTTTGACCAGCCTTCCTGTCTTCCCATCTTGTCACCTCTGTCCAGATTCCTTCTATCTCTCTCCCACGCATGCCTGGCTTGTAGTGTGGCCTTCACCACTGTCAGTCCGACTCTCGGTTACACTGCGCTGAAGCTCTGACCTCCACCACCGAAGAAGGGGATTCCCTACGCCATTTGCATGCAGCATTCATGAATAAGAGTGGGAGAGAAGTTGCTGGATAAGCATAGGTTGTCATCTGGCGTCTGAGTCTACATGCGTGTGTTCTTTCAATTGTGTTCGAAGAATACCCAGAAGCCTGTGTTTGCTTCCTAGCTGTCTGCTGTCTGTCATTAGAGTAATAAAATACTTGCTGCGCTGCACGACGATGAGTTCTTGTCTTCCTCCATTCCGCACAAATTGCCAGCTGCTGAGCTCTGATGGATGTTTGTATGCTGGCCCAAAAACACAGGTTCCACTTTAAACCCGCTGCTCCATTATCCCGGGGAGAGACAGGGGGAGAGAAAGAAGCTGTCGGTCTGTCTACTACCTCTGTCATCCAAAAGTGTTTTAATTAAAATGTGCCTCTCTGCAGAGCTCCTCAACAAACACGCACACACTGAACACACAGAGAAGGGTTTATCCAAATACACAGAGCTCTCCTCCAATTCTCTCTCGCTCTAAACCACCGTCTCTCTGTGTTTGTCTGTCTCTGCTGCCATTATTCCTCTGCCTTCTTCTTCTCTCTCTCCCCGTGCACCCTCTCATCGGGCCTGCGGATTGACAGGCAGTGTTTTTCAGCTGATGTTTGAACACATAGCGATCAATGCCGGACAAAGAGAAAAAGCGGGGGTGAGGGGCAACACAATTGGTTATTGACAGTGAATTCAAAGTCTGAAATACTGGAGGCGACAGCTTAGGAAGAGGAGAGCCAGCGGAAGTGAGGAGAGGAGTTGGAGCGTGGCATATGTGATAAATGTGTTTAATGTTCACCGCGAAGCATCACTTCTGGGTGTGCTTACTTTTATTAATTACATGTGGTTGTGCCGGAAATTGTCGAAAAATGTTGTGTTTTCACAATTACAAAGTGTGATTTTGTTATTAATTACAGTTTGTACTTTGGGTTTCAATATTGGTATGCAGTACAATCCCAACCAATAACTACACACTGGGCAGTTTCAAATGGAGTAAGCCAGCAGCAGCTCTGCTGGGATTAATATTGGTTAAACACCATGTACACCAAAAACAGATTTGCTTTAAGAGCAGATTGGTTCAATGTAAATATTGGAAAGGGGTTAGACTAGGATGAAAACAATATTTCATCATCTCTCATTTCGATTGTTGGTTGTGTTTTTAACATACTTATGATACATTGCTTTACTGCTATGTACTAATGAACTAATTACTTAAGTAGTTGTGGAATGTTATTAGTGTTACTATATTAACTGTTTATTTATTCTGCAAATTATTCAGTTGCCTCCAAGTCTGCTTCATGGACGGTGGTTAACCCCCTATTTTAGTCCATGGAGAGGGCCAGCTTCAATGATGTGTCCATTGTTTGCTCTTCTCCACAATGATGCGTCTCACGTGGAGACAGGCCAAGCAGGGGCAGTGGCAGGTCCTAGATATTTGAAGGGCTAATCATTGTTTCCTTTGGAGATTGTCGCCATGGACCTGTTGAGTGCGGTCTGACACTAAATGCTTGATGGTGACAACTTTGGACGCCCATTCCTTTTTCCAAGCAGATTGGGTCGTTTTCCCCCTAAGTGGTCACCTGGGTTGAATATGTCTTCTTGGATTGTTAGATGTAGAGAATATTTGACCTTGTCCAAGTCATATAGCGTGTATGTGATCACACTAAGCTAACTCATCATCAAGCCTTTCTGTATAAATTGTAGACTAATGGGGTCTAAGTGGAGCAAAGCGTGCAGTGGTGAGGGTTCATTTTGGGTTCATGGGTTAGTAGTAAATCAATGTAGTTGGTGGAAGGTCCTTCTAAGAGACATGTTTGGCTGGAGAGAGTCAGAGACAGATTAAAGATGACGGGTCACTCCTGGATTGCTGTGAGGCCTGAAGCAGCTTTTGCCCTTTCTGCCTGTCCTTTGGCCACAGCGCTGCCAGGCTCTGATCTCTGCTGCTTGAACTTCTTTTATTCCAGACAGCCTTTTCGTGTGGAAGGACATTTTTGTCAAAAGATGGTACCTTCCGTTGATATGAAACGGAAAGTACCGTATTTGCTGGAGCCTCTTGAATCCCTGCTGGCTTTGGTTTGAATCGAGCCACAACTTTTTTTCCTACTTCCTTCATGCTCTCTGTGTTCCTCTTAGCTTTCCTCTGATGTCTCAGACAATCTTGTCGAAGGGATGGGGGTGGGGGGAAGCGCTCCCTTTCCCAAAATAGGAGATGGTATCTTTCTAAGTAGTTTCTCTTGTTCCCTGGTTGTGGAATAACTGATCAGGATGGGCTCGATACATTTTGAGAAAGTGAACGCTGTAAATGCGTCTGCTTAAACCTCATTGTGGAAAAAGTAGCTGCATCTGACCTTGCACTTCTTTATTTATCCACTGAATGTAGAAAAGAGATTGTAGCACTGTAACACTGCAGTGTATTAAAAGCCCCTGAGCTATGCCTGCATGTTTGTGTGTTTTGCCTGCATGAAAGTGTGTGTGTATGTGAAAAGGCTGGAAATCCCCGTACCTTTTTGAGCATGTCCCTGCACTCCATCCAATCTTTCATTTAATGCTTGTTGAATTCTGATTATTTTCCCAAGCAGAGCAGAATTTATATCTGGAGGACAGATCCATTAACAATTTATGTAAAAAATCTGAAAGTGATGATAGGAGTTTGATCGTAATTGATGTTAAGAGATTGCCTAAAGAAGACAACATTTCTGAAACATATCTTAATAAAGTGCATAGTTGTATTTGTGTAATATACTGAACAAAAAATGTGATCATATTGTCTTATAGAAATATTATGATTCGGTTATTAAACACACTATGATCTTTGTAAAATAAATGTCTGAGCAGTTATGAGAAACTAACCTTTATAAGTCCTTATTGAATTATTTATAATGTGCTATGATTAGTGTTTTAAAGTATTATGAAAAAGTGATTATAACTATAGTCATACAGAGTTCTAAGCAGATCATAATACATAAATATATTGATAATTAATTGTATAGTAATTGGCGTCCTACACAGTATCCAAAAGCATTGTAGGTTATTATAACCCTATCAGTACCTAAAACTTTCCACTGCTACAAAAACTCGTATAATAGCCAATAAAATTACAGCATTGATATACTGCCTGGGATCCACCCATCTTTATTAGACGAGTCAGAGATAGAGGTCAGAAATATCGCGTCCTTCCTGCGAGGAGAAGCTCTCAGCAGCGTTGCCAGGAGCAATGTGTCACATCGGAAATGTCAGGGGATAATGTGTGATCAAAAGGACCTGGTGGAAGGTCAGCCGCTCTCCTCCCAGCTGAGAGGCAAGAGCAGGAGGCCTACATTCACCAGATTGCTGGCAACACAAGGAGGCAAAAATGTCCCTTCATTTACAGTCAACTGTCAACACCTTAAATGTGTCTCTGAAATGGATTGGATTGAGACAAGGTGCCACACACACACAATATTCTCCCTCCAGGTGTGTGATAGCTTATTGATCCCAGAGGGACACATTTGTCACTTTGGTTATTGCTCACCTCTTCAACAGTGAGGTCAGGGTGCCAGATTAGCCACAGAGCGGCCATGAAAATAATGATGGGGTCTTGCTGCTTTGCTCGAGTACGCCTCCAGCAGGCGGAGACTTTAACTCTTTCCATTGATTTTATTCCCTTGTGTGTTTGCAGAGAGCACTGACTACAGCGATGCCGAGGTTCTCCCTGATTCCTTCCCGTCTGCACCGGCGGAGCCTCTCCCAGAATTCCTCCTTGAACCAGAGGACGCTTTCATCGTGAAGAACCGGCCGGTCCAGCTGCGGTGCCGGGCCTCGCCAGCCACCCAGATCTACTTCAAATGTAACGGAGAATGGGTCAATCAAAACGATCACGTCACCAGAGAGAGCCTGGACCAGATCACAGGTACACATTAAGTTATTTACTGTAGACACACACAAAGTAGTGTCACCTTATATTTCACAGACATAAACATCATACTCAATTACAAACATCATTTCCAACTACATAATCCATTAGCTCCCACAGGAGTTTATGTGCACGTTAACTGCATTGGGCCTGCAGCCAATGCATTATTTATATGCGCTGTGAAAAACATGGCCCACTAATCTCTCTCTCTCTCCTTCACTCTCGCTTTTTCTCTACCCTCTCTCTGTCTCCCTCTGCTCAGGTCTGGTGGTGCGAGAGGTGGACATCTCGGTGGCGAGGACGCAGGTGGAGGAGCTGTTTGGGTTGGAGGACTACTGGTGCCAGTGTGTGGCCTGGAGCTCGGCTGGCACCACCAAGAGCAACCGGGCCTACGTCCGCATTGCATGTCAGTACCAAGGCTGTGTGTGTGTGTTTGTGTGAGAGGAAGGAAGGGAGACAGCAGAAGGGCAAATGTTTCCGACTTTTTGCTTGTCAAATGTGTCAGCTTAAGTATATATGCAAATAAAGTTGCCGTAGCTCTCTATCTAAGTCCCCCGTGGTAATGGGTGGCATGGTGTGATTGACACTGTGCATCTTTATGAGGGTATGAAGCGAAAGAAAACTCAACACATTGACAGGGACTTTTGGGGGTCTTTGCCTAGTGGATGTGTGAGTGTTTGTTGTTTATGTTAGTGACATTGGCTGTCACACAGTGTGTCACTGCTGTCACACAGAGCCTTCACTCACTGCTGACTATGTCTGTGTCGCCCCCTGTAGACCTGAGGAAGAACTTTGAGCAGGAGCCTCTGGGGCGGGAGGTGCGACTCGAGCAGGAAGTGCTGCTGCAGTGTCGCCCCCCCGAAGGCATGCCAGCTGCCGAGGTAAACCTCTCCCTCCTCTATCACTTTTGGGGTTCCTTCTTCGGTTTTGATATTGTAGGGTAATAGTTCAAGATTGTTTATATTTATCGCAAGGGAGATGGCAAAGCGGAGATCTAAATAATAAGTTATAAAGCAACATAAACATTATATTCAAGGAAAACATTCAAAGGGCTTGCCAATAAAGTTTGAAAGATTTAAGTCTATCCAGCGACATGGCACCATCAAGAAAAAACTCACAGATAAACATAACGATCAGTGAAAATATGCGCTGTTTTTTAAGCAATAAAGCTACATTTGTGTGCTTAAATTTGCTTTGTGTCTTAAACCATTAAGCTGCTTTGACTGCACAACAATCTATCAAACAGTTTTAATTTTCTCATTAAACAACAGTGCAATTATATATATATAAATAAAAAAATTAAAATAATAATTCATAAATGTAGATTTGTATTACTCAAGTAAACATTAATGTTCTTCAGGCTGTATTGTATTATTAATACTGGCTAAATAACAAGTTGTAAAAAGCTCTGAGCAATAAAAGCATAAAAGCTCATGTGAAGTGATCAAAGTAAGAATACAAAAATAAAAGTGAGAGAAAGCCACAAATTCATATTTTCCTGAGCAAACCCAAAATGATCAAATATTGACTGTGCTGTGTGTGGTGGCTAAATAATCTGCAGGTTTATAGTGTTTACTGAATGTCTGTGTGTGATGTGCTCACTCGTGTTTATGCATACACACCTGTTGATTTGTACAATGATTCTTCTGAAAAGATATCTCACAAAAGAATTAAAGCAATGCCTCATTCTAAATTGCTTCTGTCGAGAATACAGACGCTTTTATCGCTTGTTTAATTTAACAACAGAAATGTTGGCTGCTATGTTGCTTTTTTTATTTGCATCCATTTTCATCCCTTTGTTTGAATATGTCTTTCATCATAACAAAGTTCTGATTGATGTGTATCTGTGTGTCTCTTTCCAGGTGGACTGGCTGAAAAACGAGGATGTCATAGATCCATCGCAGGACTCCAACTTCCTGATCACCATCGATCATGATCTGATCATCAAACAGGCCAGACTCTCCGACACCGCCAACTACACCTGCATGGCTCGTAACGTGGTGGCAAAAAGACGCAGCAGCACAGCTACTCTTATTGTTTACGGTAATACGCACACGTCTGTGGGAAGGTTTTATGAGATTGGTTTATGAAACATGACAGAACATAAAATCTTCCATGTGTTTCTTGTCAGGTCGCTTCAGTGATGCAGTATTTTAGTAATAAAAAGCAGCCTAGAAATGAGAAAATCTTACATTTTAGCAGCTCTGCACCAAGATTAAATTATTGAATGTATCTTGTACTTCTGTGTAAAACACTGTTTAAAATGTAAAGGAAATATGAGTCAGATACCACCATACTTATTTGAATTATCAATAGCAAATACTTTCTGTGTTTACAAAGCATATGAGTGTGGTAGGCAGATTGAGAGTGGATAAATGGGGTGATGAAAAAACAAAAGTTAATGTATATTTAGCCTGATTTACATTTTAAAACTGGTTTTACTAACTATCTACCATGTCAAGTTAAGTTGACTCGGCTATTAATTGCCAGGCTTGCTCACTCTGCGTGTGTGTTGGTGTGTTTCTCCATCAGTGAGCGGAGGTTGGTCTTCGTGGACTGAATGGTCAGAGTGTAATGCTCGGTGTGGGCGGGGCTGGCAGCGACGAACACGCAGCTGCACCAATCCCGCCCCTCTGAATGGAGGAGCCTTCTGTGAGGGCCCGCCCTTCCAGAGAGTGACCTGCACCACACTGTGCCCTGGTAAGGATGAAATACTCATCTTTACTATTCATAACGTCTTCAGACCAAGTAGTCATGCTTCTGGAATATCAGGACATTTCCCAAATGGGCCATTTTGCAGAGCTAGGATGAATTTGAAAACTTTTTGATGTGCTGAGTTTCTCAACAAACCATGCTGTTAACAAACTTCCACTCAAATACAACTTCATCAAACATTTGGTCATGTAACTGCTTTGATTTCCTCATGAAATTTCACCTACATCAGGAACAGTGTTATCGGATGTACTGCCACGAACCTTTCTGCCCTGTGTGCCAGACCACCCTGACTCCAAAGTCATTTAAAACAAACCACAGAATGCATTTTTGCAATTTGCTAAATGATTCACTTCGGGCCATTACATAGCATTGCGCCACATTATAGTGTCATGCCCAATTCCCCTCTACGTGCAGTGATGGAAGTATTTAGCTGCTGGCTGGCTGTAAAGTGACTCACATCTCTGCTGTCTCATTCCAGTGGATGGAGGCTGGACAGAGTGGGCAAAGTGGTCTGCCTGTGGGACAGAGTGCACCCACTGGCGCAGTCGCGAGTGCCAAGCCCCCCCACCTAGAAATGGAGGAAAGCACTGCAGCGGCAGCATGATGGAGAGCAAAAACTGCACTGAGGGGCTGTGTGCGCGCAGTAAGTCACCTGAGCAATGTGTTTAAAGGATAGTAAATATGTGGCTCGTTTATATTTATTTGTAAAATATCCCAATTCCTCAGTTGGTGCTACAATGAAGATAAGCAACTGGTTAGCTAAGTTCACTTTTGCACATATTTCAACTTTCTATTATCTGACAGAAAATGGTCTTTCTGAGGTATCTACTGAGATTAAGTCCCCAACGGCAAATTTAATGTGTATAGGTGGTTGTTGAATTTCTAATAGTAGTCTTTAATGCGGTTATATTTTGGTTCACAGTTCACAGTTCTATAAAGTGTGTTGCAGTTCAAAGCTATTTGTATAGAACTGTATTCCCAAGGTGATTTGGCGCTGCGTGAATGATGTAGGAAGAAACAGCTAAATCTCTGGCAGATGTTTCACGAGGCAAAATGTAGGTTCACAAAGAGACAAGGCAAGTGATCCACACCTGAAAAGCACACAGATGGAGAGAGAGAAATAGATAAAGTAAGGGAAGGCTAAAGGAGCGTACGGAGTGGGAAGCGAGCATGACATAGCCGAGTCGAGAAATTAGCACAGGGAAGAGCATATGAGAGTGAGTTAGACTCACACTGACACCAAATGTGCAGCCCGTGATGAGCTGGGAGGAATCCAGCTGACAGCGCATTAGAATCTTTGAGACGCACATCCACAAAGGCAGTGAGATACATTCAAGAACACACTTTAAAAAACATACGCACACACCCAAGCACGCAGACTACCCTGGTAAACACACGTGCAGAGGACGGATCATATGCACCCTTTGTTTCAACCTTATCAGACTTGCATGCGAGCCCTGACATAAACAGGCTTCTATGGAGCAGCCAGATTAGACAAATACACTCTCTGATTTGTCTGTACAGAGCAGAGGGCTCTCAAGAGGCTGTCAGCGAAAACATGCACTCAAGTGGCTCTGGCAAAAAGGAGAAAGATGGGAAGCACTGTGCTGTTGAAAATCTGTAGATGTGGAGCTTGGCAAACTCCAGGTTCCTGGCTTATTTATTTCCCCAGCACATTAATATGATTATTCTGCTGGCACATATTGTCCTGATGACATTATGAGGTTCTCTCTGATGTCTCACTCATTGTTAATCCCTCTGAGGATCAGCTAAATACCCCAGTCATAAATGTAAAATGCTTCGAGACACCACAAACCATCAACTCCGTTGCCTCTTAGTAGGTTGTAATTGTTATTGGCTGAATGGAAAAGTTGGAGGGGGGGGCCATTTGGTGTTTTGATGATGCTTAGGAGAGAATGTTATTCGCTTTGAGATGTAGTTAGTGGCACGATCCTGAAAGACCATTTCGACATTCATCAAACCACTCGGGGATGATTCACATTGGTGTTGTCTAGGAAAAGATTGTTCCCGCCAGGATAGAGTTGTTTTTTTTCTTCGAATGATGAAGGAGATAACATACCCTGTAGGGTTTTTACAGACACAGTTTCAATCTACATTGTCCCCCTCATGAACCGCAAAACACCAGCGTCCATTTTCCAAACTGTCTTTTACTTTGCCACTACCATCCAAATGATCCTAATCTCTCTGTCATTTCTAAAACTCGGTTTTTATACATTATATAAACAATTATGCACAACTTCCTTTCACAATGCCGCCCATTGTGATTCTAGAGGAGGTTATTATTTCTTAGATAACAAGTATGTTGTCTTGCTCTCAGTATGCCTTTTATATTTACATTTCCATTTTCATATTGATGCGCTATTGTTTACTCTGCTTTGTATTATGTTATTGTATCTTTCATTTGCATAACGACAAGTCCATCCATTTTTATGTTCTGTTTTTTCCTTTTCTCTTTTTTTTTTCTCTTGTTCAAACAGATAAAAAGATTTCTATTGAACATGCAAGCCATCGTAAGTTCACCTACCCATGACTTCACACTGTGTGTGTGTGTGTGTGTGTGTGTGTGTGTGTGTGTGTGTGTGTGTGTGTGTGTGTGTGTGTGTGTGTGTGTAGGAGAGGATTCGTAACATCTGTGTTAGCACGTGGCGCCTCATGCGTCCATCTACACTTTGTTGTCATGTCGGATGGAGCTCAGTGACAACACGCCTCACCTTCTTGTCTGGCCTGCTTATGAGTGTTTCTATCCAGTCTTGTCTTTTATGTTGACTAAGCGTAGCATCGGTTTCTGAGCTGGCTGTGCGTTAGCACATTGCATCGGTTACATAACAGCTTGCTGCAATTCAATTTAGAATCAAGATACAATTACAACAAAGAGATCAATAGATGTTGGTGCAAATGAACTAACTGTCTCCGCTCTGGCTCTAACCCAACATGTCAGGTGAAAAGGAAATCTCTGTTATGAAAGGAGCTAAAAATGACAGGCCTCTAAGCTGAGACTCTTTGATCTACAGGCTATGAGGTAGCACTTGCTGTAAAAAAAAAAAAAAAGCAAGCAGTCTGACTTTCAGTTAATCTGTGATATAGTTTACATTTGAAGTGATGCTAATTCCTGTAGCTCAATGTGACGTGGACTCAGGGGAGAGCAGCCGCGGTTCGCTATTGTTCCGTTTCTGGTAATAAGTGCGGATGGCTGTCTGATTCAGTTCCATCGAGCCACGTAAGCACGGGAGCTCTCCTCTCAGTCTGCCTCTGGCTTTCCTCTCCTCCACCCTTTCTTCTGCTCTCACTGCTGCTCTGTGGTGCCTGTGCTTTCCTCCAACTCCCCCCCCACTCCACTCTCTCCTGCTCTTTTAATAAGGGCCTGTTCCTCAAGCGCCGCAATCCTTATCTGCTTCCTCCTCATCACCACACTTATAATCCGTCTGTCCTCTCGACAAATCAGAACCTTATCTAACTCCTTCCCATCCCTTTTGCCAAATTGCTTCTCATCTAGCTCTCTCTGTTTGTCCAGCCCCCCTCTTCCTTTTTTTACTCCTCTTTGTCTCCCGCCAACCTCGCTCCATGTCTGCTCCTCCTTTCCGCTGTGGTGTGACTGGCTCACGTGTCAGGGTCCGGTATGGCAGTGTTAGTGTTAGGGAGTCAGGGCCAACCACTCAGCAGGAGAAAAGAGAGGGAGACCAAGCAGAGAGCAGGTGAAGTCACTGTATGGCCAACCAGCCCACCTGTTATACCCCCCCCTCTGAAGGATAGGGGGAGCTGTTTATTAATGTTGCTTCCCTGGATGATCTGTTTTAACCAAACAAAGCTGCAGCTTTAGCTAGAATGAAATTGAACAACGGGAACATACTAGCAGGCACACTGCCAGAGTGAATGAATAGTTTTGTTAGGTCTATTTTAAAGCAACACTCACATGCTCACAAGTGCATCATTCCTCCTCTCTGTACTGGCTGTGAAGTGATCCCCTCCCTAATGCGATTCCAAGGTAACAGATGGGGGACAAAATCATTAGCCCTGTGTCTCTGTGAAAATGTATCATTACATTTGGCTTAGGCTTAAAAGAGTGATCTGAGTTCATCACATAAGGTGAATACTTTTAGGGATGTACCAATCAAACTTTTTTTCTCTACTGTTAACGACTCACTGTGACTGATTTGTTGTCACTCATAGCAGAAACAGTGAATTTAATAATGACATGACAAAGTAACTGTATTTTATGTAGAACGGTCATAACTGTCAGGATTCGGGAAAAGGTAGGACCCAAATGCAGTATTAAAAAGGATAAGCAAGTTTTAAGGGGTAACAAAAAGCGAGCTTTATTTACAAAAGCCGATGACAAAAGAAAACAAGAAACAAACTTAACATTACCAAATCAGGGGAGCACGAGTAAAGAATCCAGGATCAAAAAACTTCAGGGACAAACATGGAGCGTGACGTGAAGGGAAAGACAAACAATGAACCGACCTGGAGCACAGGGGAAGACAAGACTAAATACAAATAAGGGTAATCACAGGACAAGACACAGCTGGGCAGGGGAGGCAGAAACACAAGGGCAACAGGTGAACACAACGAGGCACAATCAGACACAGGAGGGCAAACACAGAGACGGGAATCAACAGACAAGACAGGGGGTGAACACTTTTCAAAATAAAACAGGAAACCAGAGACAGACAAAACACAACACAGACAGACCGTGACAATAACTGATCGACCTAAATTGTTTTCCTATTATTGTCTGATGTTAGAGCTTAATTGCATTTAATTATTATTATTACTATGCACCAAAAATACTCAAATGTAAGATAAAGTTCTTGATATGACTTTCGAATTGTCTTAGTAGCTTCACCTAAATTAAGGGATGCATTTTTACGGAGTGTGGATTCCATCATTTACATTGGAATCATGCGAAGCCAATACCTGATTGAATATATGGGCAGGTCAGAGTGTTTAATTTATTGATTACATTTGAATTAATCAGGTATTTTAATATATTGTTACAAGTGACTCAAATAGCTTGTTGTGTCCGATCTGAAATCCAAAGATTAAAATAGAACATTTTTTATTTTTTAAACCGTAAATCTTGACATCGAAAAGCAGGAGCCAGCACATGTTTGGAATTGTATCTTGATACATTTCTTAAAGATGAATCCAATTCCCAATTTGTTTTTCTATTCTGTTAACTGCTTCAGCCCTAACTTGGCTCCAATAACTCATTTATACTACTTTCTGCTTCGACGGGTTGTAAATCAGATTATATCTCTTAAATGCTGTTTTCTTCCCTCTTGTGCTTCCCTGTCATTTGTTCCTGTGTGTTTCCATATCTCTGTATGGCGGTCTCACCCCCTGCTTCCTCTCTCCCCCCCAGCTCTGGCCCCAGGTATGGGTGTCACCGTCTACGCTGGCCTGGCCGGGGCCCTGCTGCTGTGTGTGATCCTGGTGTTGTGCGTGGGAGTGCTTGCATATCGCCGCAGATGCCGACATCTCCATGGAGACATCACTGACTCTTCATCCGCTCTCACTGCCGCCTTCCACCCTGGCAATTACAAGCCTCCCAGACAAGGTAGTTTCACACACTGACTCACACGTAGGCCATTCAACACAAAATGTCGCTTTTTGTCGTTGGCATGTTTTCACTTATCTTCTCTTTCACAATCCATTTCATTATCACACTGCTATTTATACCGTCGCTTGAATTTATTCTCTTTATACCATTTATCTCCTCTCGCCTCAATTCTCCATTCGTTGCTGCATTTCATTTTTTACATTTGCAGCATTTGTCACGGTATCCCTTCTCTTGTTCTCGACATCAAATATTAATTAGCGACATTAATCCATTTCACTCGCGTCACTTTTAGCAGTCGGAGCCCTGCCTGTGTAATTTCTGGTGATAAGAGAACAGCTCCTCTCTTCTCCACAGATAACCCTCACACTCTGCATCCCTCAGCTCCTCCAGATCTGACAGCCACAGCGGGGACTTTCCGAGGGCCGCTCTTCTCCCTGCAGCAAGGGGTCAACGACAGCCCACACAAAATCCCCATGACCAATTCTCCCCTGCTGGACCAACTGCCAAGCCTCAAAATCAAGGTGTACAACGCCTCCACTCTGTCCTCTCTGGAGCTCCCCGCTAACATGTGTTTAGGCGATGGGGAGATCCTAAGCCTGAAGTCGGTGGGAACTATGGGTAGAGAGCGGGATTACCACAGCCACACCATGTCCAGAGAACCTGGGCTGAGCACCAGTGCCACCTTGGGTAATCTGGGAGGACGTCTTACCATCCCCAACACAGGTAATAAATATCACATGTAGTAGAAACCAGTATTCATACACACATGACATGTTCAGTTCATCACCCGTAACACAACTTTAATCATGATGCCTTCTCCCTTAGGTGTCAGCCTTTTGATCCCCCCAGGGACCATCCCCCAGGGGAAGTTCTACGAGATGTACCTCATCATCAACAAGTGGGACAAAACGACGTGAGTGCTCTTCATCTTTACTCGTCTATTTCACTCATCTCCTCTGCAAACATGAGGCTGAACCGACCTCAAATCTCACCTCAATCAGAAATGTTCCCAAGCACGTCTGGCCTGCTGCAAACCACTTGAAGTTTGTTTGAAAGTTCTATCGCTTTAGTTAAAAAAACGGACTTGTCGTAACTTCTTCTACACTGAATTATTTTTTTTGTGGATTCATTTCTTGCCAATTTTCTGGATGTTTGATATTGAGTTGGCCTCAATGCATCAATACCAGAAGACCAGAAATTCGAAAACCATGCCGTGGCCATGATGTTATTTTCCTGAATGAACTCACCTGTTGTTCTCGTGTGTGTGTGTGACATTTGCAGGTTACCCTCTGAGGGCAGTCAGACTGTACTAACTCCGGTGGTCAGCTGCGGTCCATCCGGCATGCTGCTGAATCGTCCTGTGGTTCTTACTTTGCCACACTGTGCTCAGCTAGACACTCCTACTCCTGACTGGACCCTCACTCTGAAGACACAGACGCACCAGGGAGCCTGGGAGGTGAGGCAGCCTCTGACTGGTACTATATCATTAATATCTCTCTGGACAGCATCATTGAACACCACTTCAATCTGTTCCTAGGAGGTGCTGACAGTAGGAGAGGAGACTTTGTCGTCTCCGTGCTACCTGCAGCTGGAGGAGGAGTGTTGCCATGTCCTCATGGAGCAGCTGGGAACGTACGGCCTGGTGGGCCAGTCCTGCCCCCCCCAGCCTGCCTGCAAACGCCTGCAGTTAGCACTGTTCGCCCCTCGAGCGCCATGCCTCTCCCTGGACTACAGCCTTCGTATCTACTGCATCCACGATACTCCTCATGCTCTCAAGGTAATGCTTGTGTGTTTTTATTTGTGCAAAAATTTCTACATATGTCTTTTCAACTCTCTTCTTTCTTCTTCTTGCCTTTTTGTACTATTGCTTTTCTGTTTCATAATTTCTATCAATGTTAATGTTTGTCAATCTAGTGAATTACTGTTTATATACCTAAAACGACATACAGTATCCCCTTAAAGCTGCTAGGGACAATATTTGAAATATAAATACATTGATTATATCAGCTTTAGTTCTAAAGTACATGTAAAATAGAGCTTGGTTTGATCAAAAATAACAAATACCGCACACTAAACAAAAATCAAAAAAAAAGATCCCCCCTACCTGCCCATATCACATTCTGGTTTTAAATTGAATCTCCCTGACGCAGAGGCAACTACTCAAAATAGTACGGCACAAAACAAAACCCTAGAAAAGAATATCAAGTTTGACTCGCTGAGTTTTTTTATTTCCATCTTTTGTATCAAAGTGTTCACAGACCAGCCTGGGTAGTAAACATGAGCATCCTGTGTGCAGTTTGCTGGCAACACATGACATGATTTCTGGCTGCTAAAGTTCAAACAGCTTTCCAACTGTTAGCTCTCACACATTTCCATTTTGGAGACCAGTTTAGAGAATGTGCGCAGCATTTTAATTAAGCTTTGCAGAAAACATGTTTTGAAAATTGTTTTAGTATGTTAAACCCATAATTGTTTGTATTTTCTAAGCCCGTCTTCTCTCTCTGTCTGTGCAGGAGGTGCTGGATTTGGAGAGGAGTCTGGGCGGAGTTTTGCTGGAGGATCCCAAGCCTCTTCTTTTTAAAGACAGCTACCACAACCTGCGCCTGTCCATCCACGACATTCCTCACACTCACTGGAGAAGCAAACTACTGGCAAAGTATCAGGTACTTACAATGCAGCAGATAATGGCCTGTGGATGTGAAGTGCCTATAAATGAGAACGTGTGTCTATTTACAGAGCACAAATCAGCAGCAGCTTGAATGACGTCGTAGATTGAAAAAGCTATTGCTTAAGTGTCAGTGTTACCTCAAGCCTAATAGACAAACACTCCTAAAACAGAACTATGGTCGGACAAACGCTTTATTTAACTTCAGCAGAATTGCTATTTCACAGACAATACAGCTATTCACTTCCAGTCCAACCCCTCTGCTGCATTCTCTCGAGATTGCAGTCTGAACCCTCTCTGAATGAATCTGATAGTGGGCCTCATTTATGGACAGTGCGCTTAGGAAATAAATTGTCCTCTGACACACGGGACCTAGTTGGTGGAAACACCCAATATATATTTTTAAAAGCATATTGCGCTCTGCTGGAATGGAAACTGTGTTCAAGATCCTTCATAATTGTGCTGCACAGGATAAAGCAACTTTAATCACAGTGGAGAGACCGTGTTTTTCTCAGCTTTCCAAAAGTAACATTTTGTCTTTGTTCACAGGAGATTCCTTTCTATCACATCTGGAGCGGCAGTCAGAGACCCCTGCACTGCACGTTCAGCCTGGAGAGGGGCAGCCTGGCCGTGTCGCAGCTCGCCTGTAAGATCTGCGTCCGACAGGTGGAGGGGGAGGGACAGATATTCCAGCTGCACACGGATATTCAGGAGGTAAAAGTGAAATGAAGTTGCATGAAAGCCACATAGCAATGCCCCCAAAAAGGTTGGTTTTAATGCTCCACCCTTTTCCTGTCAATCCAGACTCTCCCCCCACACTCGCCCCTCCCCTCCGGAGGCACCTGCCTGCCATCCTCTCAGGTGGGACCTTATGCCTTTCGCTTGCCTGACTCCATCCGCCAGAAGATCTGTGCCAGTCTGGATGTCCCCAGTGCCCGGGGGTGTGACTGGAGACTGCTGGCTCGCAGTCTGGGCTTTGACAGGTCAGATCTGCTCTACATGTTTGTGTTTGAATGGCAGCTTACTCAAGCAGTGAGGATACTCAGGTTCCTAGTTCCTGCTGTCATGTGATGACTCAGGAGTGTGTATGAGCTGGCATGAACATATTCACTGGCTCAGGTTAGGTCAGTGGTTCTCAAACTTTTTCTGTCAGGCCCCCCCTTTGGAGAAAAAAAGAAGTCGGGCCCCCCCAACACAAATAGTCAGGCTCAGTAGTGGCGCCAGAGATTTATTTTGGGGGTGCTGTGGGGTAGCTTGACGTTTCATAGAGGGTGCTCAAACATTTAGGGTTTCCCATTAATGTACCGGGCGCTACAGTGGAATTTTCTACTGCAACAATCCCCACACATATACTGTACACAACGTACCCGCGACTGTTACAATGAAGGCTCGATAATCAGCTCACGGCATATAGGTGTAAGCAGGGGTAAAGTGCTATTTTTATAGGTGGTGTGTGGACCTCACATAGGGGGGTCTGGGGGCAAGCTCCCCCGNCCTGTCATGCCTCTGCGCCCCCCTGGGGGGGCGCGCCCCCCACTTTGAGAACCACTGGGTTAGGTGTAGGGGGTTATGATTTTTATTTTTATTTTTTTTACATATAAAAACTGAAAACTGTGAAAAAGACTGTGTCATGGGGTCTAAGGATGTGGCCAGTCTATTGATTTTTTTAATTGAATGTTGTTATTATGTTTAAATACAAATAGGATATTTCACACAACGCTTCTTAAATCTTATTTTTTTTAAGTTCATGCATTGTCACCCAGCTCTAACTGCCACTAAAATACATGTATTTAATTTGCAGGAAAACAGACCAAACGCACAATAGGCATAATTAATGATGAACTTATAATATATGACTAATAGTAGTTTTATTTAAAAAAATTACATTATTTATAAAGAAATCAACATAATATCGTTATTGTGAATTTTTTAGATCTGGAAAAACCTGTAGTGAAAATCTGATCTTCTGACAGCACTAGCCATATCCTTGTTTTGACTCGGGATATGATTTAGCTAGACATGTTATACATTGCTTCATTAAAAAGATTCGGAAGATATTTCATCTTGCTAGCTAGCTAATCCTGCTTTGTTAAAAATATTGGACAGTCAGAATATAAAGTGGTTCCTGCAGCAACAAATAGAATCAATGACTGATGGAGAGCTTCCTTTACTCTTCTCAAAACTTGCCTCTTCTTTCTTCCCTGCAGGTACTTGAACTACTTTGCAACAAAGCCCAGCCCCACAGGTGTTCTCCTGGACTTATGGGAAGCCTGTCACCAAGCCGACGCAGACCTGGTTTCTTTGGCGACCGCGCTGGAAGAAATGGGCAAAAGTGAGGTGCTAGTCGTCATGACAACAGATGGGGATTGTTGATTGGTCAAGGAACGAGAGAGCAAGCCAGACATTTTCTTTTTCTCTTTTCACCACCGTGATGAAAATAAGAATACCTGCCTATGAGTATGCACACATCATAAGCCCACAGAGCGTTTTGGTTCTCTCACATGCTCTGTTTTGCCTCTGCCTCATTCCTTCTCACTGACCCCTGATCAGCCACTGTAGCTACAAACCCACCGTAACCCATTCCCATGATAACTGATCTGATTCAGCTTCAATCCTTCAAAGCTATGTTGCATCTGCAGAACCAATTCGAGGGGTATGAATCATAAAATGGACGTAAAGTCATCTTTCATACGTGGTGCTTCTAAGATACAGAATTACACTTTTATTTTATATAAATAATACAAATCTATGGGACAAACAAACTCATGTATTCAACACACGGAAGCACGCACAATAAAACAAACAGACAAATGCTAACAGGGGATTACCCATGTTTCAGTAGCAGCATGAAAGTGCATGATTTAGCACCAACAAACCTCATGGCGGGGGCTTTTTTTTTTCCATTGTCATTCTGTGTGTGCAGTGGAAGACGGGCAGCACCGACAAACAGTCTGAAACCTCCTCGGGCTACAGACACAGGCGCGGACAAACTGGTCTTTAACTGGCTCTGAATCAGATGGGCCAAGTTTTCCTCTCTAGCTGCTTGGCGAGAAAGTCAATTGAGGTCCCAAAAAACCTCAAGGTATGAGAGCTCAAGCATGTTGCTTTGGGCTTCGAAATAAAAATCTGCCTCATCTTTTTGGAGAGAGGGTGAATTTTGAAGTTCATTTAACAAGGAATTGGCAGATAACTAGACCGACTGACTCTTTATATTGTACCAACAAATGCCTCAAAGCCTTGGCATATCGTTCCCACTAACAGGGGTGTTTCTCTTTCATCTCTCCTCGCATTCCTTTATCGCTCTGCCACACTCCTCGGATCTGTTGAGACAAATCTGCAGGAGAGCCTTTCTGGTCGTCCCTTAAAAGTTTCCTGTGGGGAACGCTGTTTAAGTTATTATCCATATTTGTGGATTGTTTTTTTTTCCTTTTCTTTTTGTCATTGCTGTTACGATCATGTAGAACATCTTAATTCTAGTAGAGCAGGCCAAATGGGAGTGTTAGATGCACAGTGGATGTCTCAGTTGTGAATAACAGAAACATGTTTATTTGGGGTTTTTTATGCGGTGCAACTATTCAAAGTGTAAAAGACGATTAGAGGTGATGAAATGTCCAGGTGAATATACTGTATATTTGCTTCGCTGTAACTGAGAGCAGTTTGAATTGTTCAGATATGAATATGACAGAGTAGTTTAGCCATGCCTTGAATCAACTAGGCTGCAAGGGACCATAAAAGTTACCTCAACACAAATTGCATTAATCTATTCTCTGTCCACCACTTATCTATCGGTTTATTAAACCCCCCCAGTAACTCATTATGTCACCTTTCTTGATTTGATAACGTTGTCAACCTTTTTACTAAGCCGCCTGCTTTGTGGTCAGGGTCCTCAAGCTTTTTGCATTATCAAGATTGTTCTGTCAGTTAATGTTAGACAGGAATTGAAATGCTTTCATCTGTGACTTTTTCATGACTTAAGTTCTGTTTTTTTCCCCCTCCATGCAAAAGTATTCATATCGAAACCACAAAAACCAAAACACAGGCAGTATCCCTCCTATTCGGCAGTGAGTCACGTCACTGTTTTGTGTGAATGAACTGAAATATCAAATGTGTGTGAGTGTGTGTTGAGTGAGTGGTAATGTGTGGGCAGGCGGGTGTGCACTAACAGTACTGTATGTGCGCACGCTTCAGATCTGTCATTTCTCTTTGTAAGTGCTATGCAAGTACAAAAGAAAAGAAAAGCGTTTTGACTTCTTTTGTTTCCTGGAAGAGACTTTCTATTTTTTCAGATCAGGGCATTGACAGGGTTTTGTTTTTGTATCCTAAACTGATTTTAGAGTGGGATAACATTTTGGTTATGATGGTATATGTGTGAATTCTTCATCTGGATCGGGAAGGATTGAATCACGGACCAATGAAGCTGCTGTTGGAAAAGCCCACGTTGGAGATCTAAACAAATGATGTGGCGATGGCTGCAAAACTATTTGTGGCAAACACCATGAACTCGTGCCCTGCAGGTCTTTGGGAGGACATATCTGAACACCACCAGTTCAGAACGTTGGATCCCTGAACACTGCAGGACTATTTTCCTTCCTCAGAGACTGGCTAGGTGTAGACTACAGTGTTTATTCGTCCAGATTTCTTAAGTATTTGTTGGATCTTTGGCCATAGATCTGGATCATTCATGCTGGAGCTGGACTGGATTCCTACCCGCTCCCTTCAAGGAGAACATTTTAGCCTTTGTTCGAGAAGTCAGACATTTTTACGAAAATAACTAAATGGATTCAGTGACATTATTTTATCTCTGTAAAGTACCAATTGTAAATAAACGTCTAGCCTTCTTACCTGTAACTAAATATAATTTTTATGCAATAAATTATATTTCTTAGTTTAACAACAGCGTGTCTTTTTTTGTTATTGGAATACAAATGTGATATTGAAAAACCAAACATTAAAGTGGCTTTCATAAAAATCCATAGAGCAAATTGCAGGCCTCTCCAGAGCTCCTTAGCACCACAAAATGACTTTTAAATGGCACCTGTGTTTTTCTCAATTACACCCCATTTTCACAGAAAATACAGAGCTACTTAACCTGTCCCTGTTTCCCTCACACCTCATTGGAAAATTCCCTTTAGGTCCATTTAGCTTTAAAAGCTTTTAACTGGCAGGCTGTCTAGCCTTCAAATAGCGTCCTTAAAGGATTGACTCTACGCGCTCAAGCATTCTAGCCTCAGTTTGTGTTTTGTTTTAGGAGGGCAGGAAGTGGGGGGATTTGTCAGATTAGACTCTTAAAATAGAGAAAAACAAATATCCCAGTGAGTCATCTTTGGTGAGAGTGCACTGCAGTATGGTCTTAATGGCAGGCAACTCTTTGCACCTGTTTTATTAGATGCAGTGTTAATTGAGGACTAATATGCCACCCTTCACTGCATGACTTAATTGAACCTTTTGTAATGCATAGAGTGGTGGCACAGTATGAAAGCTGAATGCAGCATCAACCTATAACCGACGGTTTTGTAACGTATTAGGGTACAAAACAGCCGTACAAATATTATTCTGAAGGTGTGTAAACCCTATCTTGAGAACATGCTACACATTATGTGAATTGCATTTATAGCACACATTTATTTCCTGCAATATGACATACCTGAATTGTTCAGTCACCTAAACATACATTCAAATAGATATGTTACCATATGCATTGATACAGTATATTACAATGCTATGGAAGCCTTTGAGTAAAACATACATAATCAATGCTAAGTATTATAGCCTGCAATATGTAGGATGGAGGATGTATTTTAATCTAGGCTCATGATGGTACGAAAAACAAAAGATACATAATGGAGTTTATTATTTGTGCCGACTGTTTCTGCACAATTAGACCTGTTGTTGCCAGGGAACACAACAGATCAGCAGCTCTTAATTTGATAACATGCACATATAGACAGTGATTCCATTGATAATTTGGGAGATGTCCAATCCTGTGACACAGAGTGCCATGAGTGCAAGCTTTCACTCCAGACATAATGCAGAAAACCCCTCTGCGTCATGTTCGAATATAGGGGACTTTTCGTCTTGACTATTTCTTATAGGTAATGTAATTGTTTTTTCACTTTCTAGAGGCCAATAACACACTAGATGGGTGGATATGCTGTGTTATAGTGCCCTCTCCTGGTAAACCCCACTCCTCAACAAAAGCTATCTACACAATGCTACACTATAATCAAAACAAATGTATAGATAAACAGGAAATATATATAATTTAAGGGAAGTTAAATGCGTATTAGTTTATACAAACCATAAATGAATCAAACATGTTATATTCCAGCATGCTTTTCAGTAGATTAATACATTGGATGTTTGACAGGCACATTATGCAACAATATTGTTAGTGCCACAAAGAAAACAACCAACACAATTGCATTGCATACAATCAATACTTGTTATGTAATAATGTGTCCACAGCACAATATGTTATTGACACTACTATGTAGTTTACTAGTATTCTGTTGGTAGAGTAATGCTTTAGTTTGGATATAAGGTAAGGTTTACTTTAAAAGTACCACTTCAAACTGTATGATAGTATTGTGTTTGTAAGCTTGGAAATGCAAAAGATAATAACACAACAACACAATATTCTACATTTTATTTATAACTAAACTAGTACTTGTCGCTTTAACTGTTTGTAAACAAGTCTGTAGGCCAGCACATCTCACAAATCAAACTTTAGAATTTATTTAAATGTCAGTACAGAAGAAGCTAAAGAAATGCTGCATGATCAAATGATTATCTTAAAAAGTCAATTATATTACGTTTCTCAAAATCACACAAGACTAAAAGCAGAACGTCTAGTTAGTGTGTCTTAATTGTTAAGCAGATTTCTCCTTGCAACAATGTGCGGTTATCGTACGACGCTGAAGTTGGCTTCCGATTCAGAGCATCCGATTCGCCAGTTAAGGGGAAAGTTAAGGGACATTTAATTTACAGCGCTGAGCGAACAATCCTCCGTGTTTGAACCTCTTAAATCGCTGCATAGCCGATTTATTTGGACTGGATTATCCCAGAGCCTAAAGATTATTTATAACCCAGTTTGAGATTTGTGAAACCTTAATTCTATTTGTGAAAATACAAAAAAGGGAGATTTCAGTGCTTTTTTCACATCTAGACCACATTGGACCAGGTCCTGATCTAAAACCCTAAAAATCTAAAAATGTTTGGTTTTTGTGACCAGTTAGACTCATTAAGGCCATTGTTTCCCTTTATAAGTGCAACTACGGAAGTGGATTGGAGTCTTTCAGAGCCAGTGTAAAGCTTCATTAGTAATCATAGTTTTTCTATGTCAAAAAAAGTATAAACTTGCTAAACATGCTCATGTCTTTATTATATTTGTTTTGCAAAGGTCATGCCACAGTCTGACGAGCATAAATTGTTTAAGAATTCAAAATGAAGCCCCCACTTCAATCCATAAAGCATTCCAAATATATATCAGTGCTCAGCACATCGTAGGACCTCCGGTGTCACCGAAAGCTTGTACATATCAAGATAGAATTGTTGTAGAACTTAAATAAAGCGTATCTTTCAATACATAAATCTCCATACCTTCTTAAAAAAAACAAGTATGTAAAAAGTTTTTATTTAATGAACAATCTGAAAGATTATTCCATCCGGAATGAATATGAGTTTCGTGATTTTTATTACATTTACTTCGTTTTCCGAGGACTAGAAGTGCACAAGTGGTCACATTTGCGACCGGAACGACCCCAGGGTATATAAATTTTGACGTACCTCTTACTGCC